TTTTTTTTTGATCAAGGCTAGCTGGAGTCCTATATTCTTCACTTATCTGTATGTCAAGTTCTTTTCCCCTTCTTGGGAAGTTTTCTGCCGTCACTTCTGTGAACAGGTTTTTTATGTCATCTGCACTCTCTCTTGTTTCTTCATTGACTCCAATCACTCTTATGTTATTCTTCTTTGCATCGTCTAGCAGCTGTTGGAATCATTTCTTGTGGTCCCTTACAATTTTAAAGCAATTTTTCTTTTCCTGGTCACTAATTGCAATCCTATCTTCTATATCTGAAATTCTGTCCTTACATTGGTTCATTCAGCTGTGTAGACTTTCAATGGAGTTTTTAATCTGGAAATCTGTTTGAATCTGTTTTATGGATTCCATTTGTTTCCTATGTTGGGATTCCATCATGTTCCATCAGCTCCTCTATTTTTTTTATCTGTGTCCTCCCTGGATTTATTAATCATGCCTTGCACTATGAGCATAATCTCTGCTGTTATCTGAGAAATTATTTCTGATTTCATTTTTTTCCAGATCCTCTTTTGTTGCCAATTCAGGGAGTCCAGGTGGTTGAGTATCAGAGTGTTCCATCTTGTTTCCCTTTGGGGTTGCTGTAGGTGATTTGGAAGTCTATTTTTGAGGCTTGTTTACGTGTCTTCTCATTTCAACGGGGTGGGGAGGTGCTGCTGGTGGCTGCATGGCTCACCTCCTCTGAGCTGGGAGTGGTGGAATAGCTGCCTGGAAGCCTCTTCCTCTGGGCTGGGAGAGGTAGAATGGCAGCCTGGAAGCCCCTAACTCTGGGCTGGGAGCGGTGGAATTGCAACCACGGAGCCTCCTCCTGGGTGCTGGGATTGGCTCACCTCCTCTGCCCTGGGAGCAGTGGAATGGCGGCTGGGGAGCCTCCTCCTGGGTGCTGCCCACCTATGTAACTTTAAAGTTTCTAATAACCACATGAAAAATATAGGTAGAATTGAATATATTTTATTTAAACCATTATATCTAAAAATTACTGTCAACCTATAATCAATATAAATTATTAATGAAGTTTTTTACATTCCTTTTCATGTTGTCTTTGAAAGCTGGTGTACTTATCTTAATTTTAATTCAGATACTGCATTTTCATTAAATAACTGATTTATATTGAGATTACATAATTTTAAAGTGGAAAAAGTAGATTTATATACTCAAATTATTCCATTGTTTTTTTTTTTCTTTTGAACAGGTCTCTACATAGTTCAGGCTGGCCTTGAACTCACTTTGTAGCCCAGGTTGACCTTGAACTCAAGGTGATTCTCCAGCCTCAGCCTCCTGAGTGCTGGAATTACACACATGTGCCACCATGCCAAGGTCAAATATTCTCAAAAGCTTTACAGTAACTGAATTGAACATGTTTTTCAATGTAATTAAATTAAATTAAAATTTAGTTTCTCACTTGAGTAGACACATTTCACATGCCCAATAGCCATATCTATCTAGTGGCTATTGCACTGGGCCACACATGTGGATTAGGGGTAATGTGTCTGTGTTCACGGTTACGTAAAGGGGCAGAGAAGAGGGTGGCACCAGAAGTGTGGAGGGAAGGTGAAAGTCTGCAAAAAAGCAGGATTAGCTTTATATGCAAGTCACGTTTGAGGACAGATTCTTCTAGTTCCCACTAATGAGGTAAGGATTTTCAAAGTTGACTATTTTTGTAGCATTACTGTTGTATAGGTACTCTGGGAATCATTTTCTGGGGAATGAAAAGGGTCATATGTAGTATTTTTAATTAGAATCTTCTATGTGATATGGGACAGTCATGGAAAGCAGATTATTTTCTTATAGAACATTGTGGGGGTTTTTTCTTGCAGTACCAGGAATCAAACCCAGGGCCTGTGCAGGGCAGGCAAGTGCTCTACCACCGAGCTCCACTCCCAGTCCCTACAACAGTGGTTCTTAACTGGTGGTGATTTGGTTGATCAGAGGACATCTGTGTCCCCCCCACCCCCCATTTATCCTCTTCCCACCAATCTGGAAATATTTTCGGTTGTGAGAGTGAGCAGTGCTGTGGCATTAGTGGATAGAAGTCAGGATACTGCTGAATACCCTACAGTGCCAAGGACAGCTTCCTAACAAACTGATCCAAAATATAATGGAACTGATGGTGAGAAACCTTGCCATGATTAGAATAAGAATGAGATAGCTACTCTTTTAAGACCTCAGCCTGACTCCCTTGTGATATACTAAGGGGAGAATAGGTTGAAGTATTTCAGTTTCCACTGTTGACAGCCTTGTGATTAGACTGTAATGAAATAACTTCATACTTAGGATGAAAATGTAGACCACTTAATGTAAATGTGTGCTGTGCCCCGAAGGTTCAAAGTAACCAGACACCGGGAGCTGTGTTTATCTTCATGTGACTTTTATCTAAGACCCACTGTCTCAAATGACTGATGCTAATACACTGGAATTACTTATCTCCCTCTTCCATTTTCTTATCTCTATCCTTATCTTTTCCTTTCTGTGCTCTTGCTTTTTAAAAATTCTTTTCCTTCTATCCCTTTCTATCCTATCCTGTTTTCCCTCTATTCATCCAGAGACCTCTCCCACAGTCCCAACACCCACTATTTCCTCTATTGGCTCCTGCTGTTTGTTCCCCAAAAATTCATGTGCTGAAAGCTTGGACCTCAGTGGCAGTGGCCCCTTTAAGAGGTAATTAGGAGGACGGGGGTGGGGGATTTAGCTCAGTGGTTCCACTGCCTGCCTTTCAAGCACAAGGTCCCAAGTTCGATCCCGGTACCAAAAAAACCAAAAAACCAAAGAGGTAATTAGGGATGGATTAATGCTCTCTCTTGGGAGGTGCCAGCATCCTGTGATGATCAGTTCCCAAAAGAGGGATTGTTATAAAGCAAGGCCACCTTATGCCTTGGCCTCTTCTGTGCGTCTCCTCACAAGGACACAGATGTAATGCTGTTGGACCCTGCAGCCCACTCTACAGGTGAGTTACCTGGCCTTAGCAACACAAAATAGCCCCCTTGCTCAGTATCACAGATCTCCACTAACTTCATCCAAGAGTTGCCCCCAACCTTGTCCTCTATAGCTGCCTTTGTTTTTCTCTCCTGGTGCATTTGCAGCCTCCAGGTCTCTTTAGCTACCTTTTGAACTTAGAATCACACAGCATTAAGGGTGGAAGATACCAGTGATTTAGTCAGCAAAAACTTTTAGAACTTCCTACGATGTTAAAAGTCTCTGCCTGTGCTGTACAATATAGTAGTGACACAGCTGAGTATTCCCTACTCAAAATGCTTGGGACCATAAGTGTTTTGGACTTTGGATTATTTGCATATAGGTGATGAGATATCTTGGGAATGGGACCCAAATCTAAACTCAAAGTTCATTTGTTTCATATATTTGTATATAGCCTGAAGATAAATTTATACAGTATTTTACATAACTGAGCATGAAATAAAAGTTTGTGTGTTATAGCTGAAGGGCCTGGGAAGGTCTTTTTTTTTTCCCCTTGGAGATACTGAATCTACTTGGTGTTTACCTGTGTTTTGACTGAGACTTGTTGTATGAGGTCAGGTGTGGGATTTTCTACTTGTGGTGTCACAGTGGTGTTTGAAGTTTCAGATTTTGGATTTGGGATGCTCAATCCGTAACCTGTTGCCACCGAGCATCTGAAATGTGGCTAATGTCACTGAGAAACTGAATTTTCTATTCTGTTTCATTTAACTTCGTATGGCCACATGTGAGTACTGGGTACCATATTGGATACCACAGTTGTAGACTAAGCTGTCCCCATCTCCTGCAGTGTACAGTGAGCTGAGATGCAGAAGGAATTTATCCAAAATCACAGATCCCTAACACAGTTACCCACCTTCCTAGTGGTTCGTACTGATCCCTTCCTGCTTTTCCTTCCACTTCGATGTTTTTCTCAGCCACCTGTCTTTTCTGCTATCTTCCTCTTTTTATTTATTTGCAGAGGACCGTAATACTGATTATGCCCAAATCAGACTGTGGAGAGTTAGCCCCGGCAGTCAGCTTGTTTATAGATGTGAGTCTGGCTGAAGCCTACGTGCCGAGGTCAGAGTAACTCGCACTCAGAGTCCATTCCCACAACTAAAACCTCCAGACTAGAAGGATGACGTTCCAATTACAACCATATATATTGTCTATTCTGTTTCTAATTCGAGAATGCTTCGTCTTGTCCTTTCTGAGCCTCGTTTACATTAATTTGCATAGAAAGCACACATTGGCTTTACCCCAGTTGACTGCCAATAAAAGTAGGTGCCTGGGTCTGTCCAGTGCCTTTGTTGGTTGCACCTGCACTGGTCATCCTGGCCCTGTGTTTTCTTTCTTAGTTCTCTTAGTGTATTCTTTTTCTCAGGACTGCGTCGTATACTGAGCAGGTGGGTACTGGAACCTAACTACAAAGGTCTCTGGCAATTGAAGAACAAAAAATTTCCAAACTGATCACATCCCTTAGTTTAAGGTAAAATATTGGTTATAACAAATAATTATTGGTTTAGTTCTTAATTTGCAAATAATTGTTGTGTAATTTACCAAAACACAACTATTATCATTTAGAGGAAATGAAGGCAGAGAAAAACTGGAATGTCTTGCTTATTGCCATACACTGACTGGTCAAGTGTGAAGGAGCTAGAGCAGAAGTAGAAATCACTTTGAACAGGGAGCATCAGTCTTGGGCTACAATTGTAGATAAGGCTTTCTGAAACAACTGATCTCTCCCAAAAAACTCCACTCACTTAGAAATAAAAGGATAATTTACTCAGGTAGATTCTGTGGTGCCAGAGAAGATTTTAATGATGACTGAAGCTTTGCCCATGTTAAGGAAATTCTTTGGGTCTCTAAGGCAGATTCTCTGGCAACTCATTAGGCTTGTGTGTCTAGAGAACTCTGTTACTTCCACTGCATTGGTAGAGCTTATTTGCTATATGAATTCTTTGGTGTCTAATAAGAGCTGAACTTACACGGAAGGGCCTTCCACACTCATCACACTCATAAGGCTTTTCACCTGTGTGGATTCTCTGATGCTGAATAAGGCCTGTGAGCCCACTGAAATCTTTCCCACATTCTTTACATTTATAGGGTTTCACTCCACTGTGGACCCTATGATGCCCAATAAGATGTGAGTGTTGAGTGAAGGCTTTTCCACACTCATCACATTTATAGGGCTTCTCTCCAGTGTGAGTTCTTCTGTGTTTACTAAGGTCTGAGCTATGGCTAAAACTTTTTCCACATTCATCACATTTATATTGTCTTCTTTTCCTCTATTCTAATCTGCTCTCACTTTCAGTAGCATCTTTGGGTTCAGGATGCTGAGGAATGTCTTCATTAAGTCTGTCCTTGGGCATATCTTCCTTCTGGGATTACTCTTCATCCTCAGTCCTGGTTTTATCACCTGTAAAAGTGCACAAACAGGTCCTATTTGAGGTTTGAGAAGCAAAGATCCTACGGAAAAGAGAACACATAAACATTACAAATGCACGACAAAATAATAAGTCATAACAAATGTATCACATATTTGGTATCCACCCCCCTTTGGGGTTATCATAACACATGGTCACAATACAGGACAGAAGAAACTAGGAAAGAAGATAGTGGCAGGATAAGTTATTTATTTTGTGGTACCCAGGATTGAACCCAGGGCCTTCCCACTGTTATATCCCCAACCCTTCTTATTTTTTTTTTTTAATTTTGAGATATGCTCTTGCTAAGTTGCTAAGTTTCCTAGGATAGGCTCAAACTTGCCCATCTTGCCTTAGCCTCCCAGAGAGCTGGGATTACAGGTGTGTACCACCATACCTGGCCTAGGATAAGCTATTTGAGAGTAGAATGAAAGGAAAAGGAAAATGTAGATTAAAGAGACTACCTGCAATCCTGCACAAAAGCAGAGTGGTAAGTAGGCAGCTGTAAATGCACTACAGGTAATGAGGAATAGATGGAGACTGGAGAACAGAGATGAGTAGGAAGGTAAAAGTTCAGGAGAAACATGCAAGGCCTGAAACATAGGCGGTAAGTCAGAGTGAAAGTGACTGGAGAGGATGGTAAGGTTTAGAGTCTGAGGAGAAGATAGTGAACAAGAGCCATTTGAGGAGGCAGCACCCGTGGAGGCTGGAAGCAGAGTGAGCACATGTAGATCAGGGTATACAGGAGAGAAATAAATGGGAAATGGCAGTGGGCTGCCTAGTATATGTGCTGTGTTGAGTTTACTTCCCATGAGACTGATATCCTTGTTATCACGTTCTGTGTAAATCCTAGCTTGGTAGTTTCTAACTTTATTGTGCATGGGAATTAAATGAGTTGCTTATTAAACACGGAATACTGTACGCTCTAACCATCTCCGAACTCACGGAGCACACTGTGCAGCAACCACCGGTCACAGTCTTTAGTAGTTCCTTCAGGCGGCAAGACAGAAGCAGCAGCAAGAACGACCGGAGCACTATACTGCTTGGTTGGGTGTGGAAAGCACTGTCTCTGGCCTCACCAATACATGAATGAATTCTGTCCATCATTGCCATCACCCAGACAAAGCATCTTTTCTACCAAATCTTCCGCATCTTACCTTCTCCCCTACAATTATTATTTTGCTCTAGAGCAACACAGATTTATTCTCCAGAATAAACTGGAAGCTAGAAGTCTGCAATGGAGGTGCTCGCAGGACCATGCTTACTCTGGAATGTATGGAAGAATCCTTCCTTGCCTCTTCTAGGCTTTGGTACCCCAGGAATTCATGGGCTTGTGGTAGAGTAACTTTGTCCTTTATCTCTGTTCACAGGGCGTCTTCTCCCTGTGTGTCTCTCCAGATCCTCTACAGTTATTTTTATTAGGAAATGGTCTTCCTGAAAGTTTTTTATTGTTCTGGAATCGAAATGCCATATTATCCCTGGCTAGAAATTATGAGGACTATATTAGAACCACAGATGATCAATTGAGGTAATTATGACAAAGATTTAGAAAAGCATAATATGTGGACAGAAGTATCACTAACTCAGTAAGGTGGTAATTATCGGTCAAATCATGTAAATCATAAACACTCCCATACTAGAAAAAAATTTTCTGAGACAGCAGTATCAATGTCTTTTATATACAGGAAGTCAACTGGCTTTCCTGTAAGTTATCAATGAAGATGAATTTTTAAAAAAGATAGAGTCAGCACCAATGCTCAGTTTACTGTCTTAAGAGTGAGTAATCTACCAATCCTCAGAATGTTTCTCTCCCATAACTTCAGAAGAAAGCTGAAGAAACCTCTCTTACCAGGACTTTGAATGATTAAAAAAATATATATGAGGTCAGTTTTCCTTGACTGGCAATCAAATTATAACCTGTTTCCTTAGGTCTATAATCAAATAATGTAAATAATGTACAGAAACTGTCAAATGTGAACTTTTCTCATTTCAGAGACCTAGAGACTATTTCTCAACTGAATTTCAGGGCCTTGTTTATATACCTCTTCAGAGTGCCAACTTGTCCTAGGCTCGTAGGATTCTAGGAGAAATTGTTTGAGAACTGTCAAAATGAAGAGATTTGGCTTTAGTATATTCTGCTAGGATATTTTTTCTGATGTTATTTTGGCACATGTAATAACTAAAGTCTTTATCAGATATAGTTCCAGCTCTCTTGGTTACTGAGAAGAAGATAAGTCCACAAAGACCATTTGGTTCCCATGTATATTAGCTGTTTAGCAACAGTTTAGGGGAAGAGGACAAGTTGAATGCTGAGTGATGTGAATTGGGAGTTGAGGAGACTGATATCACCTCACTGCTAATGGAAAAATTTTGTGTTTTGGGTTACAGCACATCCGAAAAGATGCCATTTACTTTTTTTTTTTCATTTACTTTTGAAATACAATAAATCCTTGGTCTGCAAACATGATTCATTCCAGAAACATGCTTGTAATCCAAAGCACTTGTATATGAAAGCAAATCTCTCCATAAGAAATAATGGGAGCTCAGACAATTCATTCCACACCCCCAAATATGCATATAAAGTGATTATAATACTGTAATATAATGGAAAATAATAAAGAAAATATAAAATATAAAGAAAAATAAACAAAATAGCCTGTACTTACCTTTGAAAACCTTCATGACTGATATAAGGGAGATGAGAGGATTATTGTGTAGGATGACTTTCACTATCACTAATGGAATTACTGCTATCTATGGGCTCAGTGGACTCTTTTTCTTTCTGTGCAACTTTAACAAGGAATATATCCAATGACACTTGCATTTGCTTCCTTTTGAGGATTTCATGGAAATGTGACATTGCATTGTAATTAAACAGATTCATCAGTTGCCCTGGTACTCCCTTATATATACGGTGCTTTTCTACAAAAATGTGCACTGTTTCCCACATTTTACACACCTCCTTAATCTCATTTGAAGTGAGGGATTTATTTCCCTTTTCTCCTCCTCCTCTGCAGATGAGATCTCCTCCATAACCTCTTGCTATTGAGCGATGATCACCCATAATCCTGTAGGGAGAGAGAGGGAGGGAGGGAGAGAGAGAGAGGGAGAGAGGGAGAGAGAGAGGGAGAGAGAGCACAGAAACTGAGACAAAGACTGAGACGGACAGGGAGATGGAGAGGGAGGGAAGGAGGAAGAGAGACAGGAACTATTGCCTCAGTTGTGATTGTGTGACGTTTGGCATCATGTACTACCCCTACTGCAACACATCACCTGTTTATCAAGTTAAATTTTATTAGAAATGTGTTCCTGTCTTGAGGAACACTCACAGAACAAGTTACTTGCAATCCAATGTTTTCCTGTACCTTAAAATTTGTTACAAAGAATTATTAAGGTATTTAGCTGTCCAAGTTCTTTAGTCATAGGTAAAGATCATTCTGTATTAGGTGATTAAATTCTCCTCACCCTAGCCAACAGTCAGTACTAACACTATCTTGCTGATATGGATACATTTGAAAAATTTTATTTAAAAGAATTTCATAACAAAACAATAAGAGAATGGATACATTTTAAAAAATAAGTACTGCAAAATGTATCAAATGAAACCCATACTTTGTACAATATGCAATAATTAAAATAAATACTGCATAAAAACAATTTTTCTATTCAACAGTAATTTTATTTTTAAAAGATAGTAGCTTTTTGGTACATTATCATTTTGGTTTAAGATGTTTTTGGGGGACTAGCAGGTAAATCTCAGTTCTGCCTCTAACTCCCATTGGAAACCTGAACAAGCCATTGTGGGTTATATCTCTCCAACTGCAAAATGAGGGCTTGTACCAGATATTACATGCTTTTAAGAGAGCTGAAAGGCACTTCTTGAAATGTATGTGCTGTACTTTCTGCAGGATTTTTTGGTTTGTTTTATTTTTTGCCTTTCTATATTTTGCTGGGAAGTGTGGTAATGGCAAGGAACATAAAACTTTTGAAAGGCTGCTGGTGGTGTGGTATACCTTGGAAATAAGTCATAGCTACTGTCCCTTGCAGACACAGTGGACTTCCCTAAGACTTCTCAGACCTCACAGGATAGCTAGGGTTCCTGAAGCCTCCTACTTTTGCCTATGTAGCATTCCCCTGAAAGGTCATTCTAGTTGCAGTATATGTGCAAACCTCTTCAATTTGATATAGGAACTGTGTGTTTTTCTGGACTTAAGCTAACAGAAAGTAAAGTAGAAGCAGTCCAGAAGTGTTTGTAGAAGGCAATTTCAGGTGTGGATAATCCTGTAGTCACCATTAGCAATTCTGTGTTCTCCATACTGGGATTTAGTGTTATTGATATGTTAAATTATTATTGTGGACTGTTTAGGAACATGTCCTGTCTTCTCCCAAAGTCTATGCTTCTCCACAGAAAAGAAGAAAAGAATCCTTCCTAAAGTTTTTTTTAAGATGGTGTGTACCTTTTAGCTTTTCCCCCTTTCCCTGCACAAATACTCTAGCCAAGATTATCTTCAACTTCTAATGCTAAATTCAGTGGATTTTACCAGTCTTCATTTTATGTCCTGCTGCATTGGCCATGCTGATCTTCCCTCCTTGCTGAGAACCCCTTGCCTGGCTTCAGCAACATCACCTGCTGCTGCCTCTTTCACCTCTGTAACAGTTGCTGCTCTTTCTCCTTTAAAACTTTAAATAGGTACTGCCTCAAGATTGTGCATGTGGCTGGGTCTCTTCTCTTTTTACTTTATGCATCGATGAAGAAGAAACCACATCTGTGCCCATGTCCTCTTCCATTTACTGAGGAAGGACTTCCTCACAACTCTGTGCTCAATTTAGAGACATACTACAAACTACCTTGGCTGCTGGTCATTATGTACTTGGATACTACAAATTCACATATATTAAAATTGGAATCACTACCTCTAACTCTCCTTCATGTATGAGCACATCCTCTTCTTATTTTCCTCTCAACTGGTGGCACCATTATCCACCCAGCTGCTTAAGTCACAAACTCAGATTGTATTAAAATTACCCTCCCAGCTGGGCATTGTGGCACACACCTGTAATCCCAGCACTTGGGAGGCTGAAGCAGGAGGATTGCCAGGTTTGAGGGCTGTCTGGGCTACATAGTGAGTTCAAGTCCAGCCTGAACTACACAGCAAGACCCTCTTTTAAAAAAATTTAAAAAAATACAATTACCTTCCTTTCATCTAATCTGATCTACCCATTCTGTCTTGAACTTTCCACTTCTCTCCAGCCATATTCCTGCTCTGCTCTTTCTCCTAACCTTCTTGGTTTTACATTTTTCCCCCCATATTATAGTTCTATGTTCATTCAATTGAAGACTTGGAAAATAGAGAAAAAGAAAACAAGTCTCCTATGATTTCATTATTCTGAAATGATGACTGTCTACATTTGGAGATAGCCTTCTAGTCTTTTTTTCTGTTGTATAAAAACTTTAAAAAAAATGGAATCATCTGTGTTACCCACTCTTCTATTTAAAATAATGTAACATCGCCATCTGATAGGTTGAGCTGTTGTTTTTGCAGCATAGTTTTCATGACTGTTCTGTGATCCTCCCTTTCACAACATCCTTTATATCAAAATCAAACTCAGAACAGTTGCTGTTAGGATCAGTTATGCTCATGTATTTTTTCCCTGTTCTTTCTGCCTGTAATGTCTGTCCTTCCCAGTCCCATCTATCTGACCATCTCAGCTGAAGCAAACCTACTCCGTGATACAGGCCCACCACAGGGATAGTGGTGTTTTTCTCTGTAGCTCACAATGTATCTTTAGTGCAGTTATTATCATCATATCATAACTGTTCACTTTCTTGCTTCTTGAAGAGAACTTCAGTGTATTATTGTTGGATTCCTTATATAACATGGTGTCTAGTACATTGATGCTGTTTGCTGAATGCTCAATAGAATGAATGAACAGAACAGGGGGTTATTAACTTCACGTCCAAAGCCAAGCAGTGACCAGCATTTTAGTTCTAGAGTTAAAACACTGAAAGACTCTTTTATATGTAACTGCATGTCACTCTGTCTAGATATTAGCCAGGAACATATCAAAGTAGGAATATCTTAGCTCAAAATGATTTTTCAGATTAGACAAATCACCTAGTTTGGATCCCCTCATTTTCCTACAACCTGTCTTCACTGCTGCCCAGAAACCCCAGCCCCACCCCCTCTATAGCTCAGAATGCTAATAAATTCAGCCATCTGGTCCATCTTCTGCCACCAAAAGAGGACTATTTTGCCCACCATGTGACAAAGGCCTGATGCCCTTATGGGAGAAGGATTGCAGCCCCATTCTTCTGTTCTGGTGGCTGGGATGGGCTTGCTGAATTGAAGACCACTCTCAGCTGGAGCATTTTGAATGTTTCCAGTGTTGGTTGGTGAGTAACAGAACCATTTAGTGTTAAATGAGCCTGGCCAAGGATGAACTTTGACACCTGGGATGTGTATGGACGGAAAGACCTGTTTCACCACTGAAAAGCAAGTTAGCTGTCCTGAAGCCCTTCGAATACGTGCAGCAGGCACGCCAAACAACCTTGCAGGCAGTTTTGTGTCCTTCTGGTGGCCTCCTCTTGAGAGCACTGGGAGAAGGCAGGCCTGTTGGCGGGAGCTGGGCTCAGCTCTCTGCAGTGGAGGGACGGTGTCGCCAAGGTGCCCCAGCAGGGTGGCAGTCTTGCTCTCATACCCAGCGGGACATGGCAGGGCCTTCCCTGCTGGAGTGGAACGGTGGCTGGGAGCTCATTCCAGGGAGGCAGCAGATCAGGAATGGGGTGTCCTGCCCTCCCCATCCTAACTGCCCCTTTCCAGGGCCCCATCCCAGGGCCAGGTGAAAGTTCACATCAGCCTGTGCGAGGCACTTCAGTGTTTCCATGGGATGTCTGGCCATGGTTAGGAGTGGACACTGCCAAAGGAGGACTGAGTCAAACATTTGGAAAAGAAATGGCCCACCTGCCAAAGTCTACCTGGGGTGAGAAGGAAACAGCAACCCTGTTCTAAGGCAAGAGAGAGAAACTTGGGGAAACACACATGTATTTAGAGGAAAAAGAAAAGACCTGCACAGTGGCCAAGGTTGCTGAGTCTACACTGGCTTGTTCATGATGGAAGCTGCCGTTTGTGCACACGATCCTCATAGCCCTAATGAATGGCAAATCTTCCAGCAGCGGCCTGGCAAAAAAACTCAGGGTTCTCATGGTTCCTGTTAGAGTTCAGATTCACCGTGAACAGTCAGGTATCTGACAGTCAGCGTTTGACAGTCAGGTATTCTGTGGTCCAGAGCTGGAAAACACGATCCCAAATTTCCTTCATTTCTGCATACCATTACTTTGTTTTTGTGACTTTTGGGGGCTTGTTTTGTTTTGGACCACGAAAGGACACTCCCTGCCTGTGTCCCTGTCCTTCTGTCCCTGCCCTCGCCCAGCCCCTACTGGCTCCTGACACACAGCCTGCAATCCCGCGGACAGGAGTCCAGGATCCTGCTCGCCCAGGGCCTCTCCCTAGAGGAGAAATGCCGTGCCCTGTGCTTCTGCTTTTGTGCCACAGGACAGCAGGAGAGACCCGGACTCCTGGGGCGGGAGCGGGTCTCACCCAGAGAGATCCAGGACTGCTTCCCACCGGCAGGGGGGTTTCTGGCAGGGTCGCCAGTCCTGACCACAGGGTCACAGGCCAGAGCGGAAGCGCAAGGCAGCTCAGTGTTCCGCAGGCCCTCCGGCCGGCTGGCAGGACTGAGACCCCAGATTGCCCACAGCGGTAGGGGAGGGGATCCCAGAGCGACAGGAAAGCAAGGGCCTGGAGAGGGTCTTGCGGAGGGCCTTTGCTGTTAGTGGAAACATTTCCAACACCAGCGACAGCGCAGGGGATCGCGCGGGGGAGGGGCAGCGCGTGAACGCTGTAGGTCGCCCAGAGAACTCCAGGATCGCAATGGCCCACGGGGGACCTTGCCACGCGACGCTGGCGCAGCCGAAACGTCTCATCCTTAAACTGCGACCCCAGCCTTCGTGTCCCCCGGTCTTGGACACAAACCACCAAGCCCCGATCACCGCGGCTCTCCAGGCTGCAGATGCTCTGTCGAAGTCGCTTGGGCCCAAGGGCCCAGGGCAGAAGAGCCACCTGACCATCGGCTCCAACCTGAGCTCGGCGCACTCCGCAGCAAGGAAAATTTCACTTTCTCAAGAAAACCTCATTGGAAAAATAAGAACTAAGATGCTCATGTAATGGTACAAGATCCCAATGATGTATGTAAATGTATTTTATACCTAAAATGTACCAATAAACTTAATGGGGGGGGGGGGAGAAAACCTCATTGAAAACACAACTGAGGATGGCCTGGCAAGTAGTCCCTGTCGTTTTTCAAGTAGCGCTGCCGCCCAGACAGGAGCTGCGCACCCTTAGCTTAAAGCCAAAGTGAAGCCTGGATAATGCAGCAGAGACAAACAAAAGGCCCGTCTGCAGGGCGTCTAAGGACGGAAATTACGTTTGCTGATTTTGCCTATAAATGCACACATAACGTATACAGGAATTTTACAAACTTACTCGCCTTCTCCACTCCCTTCTAAAAGAAAACAAAACTACAGATGAAACGCACCAGCTACTTTTTCTGAAAGAGTGGGTGGCTCTGAGAAGAGCCTTTGGGGTGGGTGCAGGCAGCGCCCGGGCGCGCTCACTTGGAGCTGGTGTACTTGGTGACGGCCTTGGTGCCCTCCGACACGGCGTGCTTCGCCAGCTCGCCAGGCAGCAGCAGCCGCACGGCCGTCTGGATCTCCCGCGACGTGATGGTCGAGCGCTTGTTGTAGTGCGCCA